TCACACTGATGTACCAATTCATTTAATAATAGTCATCAGGAAAAAAACCTATTTGATCAATCAGTGAACTATAAAAACACAATGGTAGTGGCTAGGAAATAATAGATCTACTAATAACTACTATTGATTTTTGTCCTTTTGATCAAAAAGCTATGATAAAACTATTTTTAACTAACTGATTATTATATGTTGATATAGACTCTTCAAAGGTACACAAATAACTTATCAAAAGGGTCTAAAGAGAAAGAGAATTGGGGTTTAAGGTCTACTCGAAAACCCCCCCCAAAAACTTGGACATTTTGGGACCAACACATGGTTCAATTTTATTTCAATTATTCACTTACGCATTGGTGTCTTTTGTGTTGATTTGGTTTAAGCTGTCATCATAATTTTTTTTTTTATATTATATATAAAAACCTTCACTGGGGAGTCATAGCCTATATTAAAACCCTCATCAATTTTTGTTTAAATCTTTAATGGGTCTCTCTTTCGACTGATTGAATACAAGCCAGGAGGTTGTCTAAATTGTTTTCTCAAAGGGGCATTAGGTAAGATTAGATAAAGAGCTTACAGTTCTCGCCAAAATAGTTTTAAAAAACCCCCAGATAATGAAAAGAGAATATGTTGAACGATGAACCTAGATATTAGCAACTTAATTTTAGGCTAGCCTAGATCGTCATTACTACTGTTATTACGATAATAAACAAAATCTTGATCATCCATTTTTACGGTTATACAAGTCCACTAAATAACGCCGGCATCCGATGGCATCGAGATTTGATTATGGTCTTTGCGAGTTAAATAATGTCTAATTAATAATTTAGATAACATTTAAGGCCTAAAGAAAGACTTAGCTCTTGTATAATGTATGTTTAAATAATCCAATTGAGTAATTTTAATGTTGTGGATTAAGCATTGAGAAAATTGATATTTTCTGAAAATGCAAATGACGCACCTGTAGATATTTTTGTTTTGTGACAGTGCGAATGGGGAGAGTAATCATATTACTGGGAAACAATAACTGACTTCTTCCTGCTCTTCAATTTCATCCACAAAGTGTAATATCTGAATGTCTTTACAGGCTACAATTCAAGATCTCTGAAGATGTAATTAACCCTATTAATAAGTTTTCACTTTCTTCAGAGAGAATAATTGTTTATTTATAAATGCTGATGTAATGTAGTATATGGCCTGTATTTCTAGCTGTGGCCTAGAAGGAGAATTCATTGATTTGTAGATGGTGAAGCCAGGTCTGTATTAACTTAATTGATTGGTAGATAGTAGAGGAGATAGAACTGGCCGAAGAAGAGTGAAATAATTGATAATACTAACACAGTTAACATGAAACATTCAGAGAAATTGCAAGTGTTTAATGGATTAAATTTCATGTGCTCATTTGCTTTGTGAGATGGAAATTTTTCAATGTTTAAAATTTTATGAATGTAGATGATACAGTTAATGTTAATAAAAGAAATGAAGATGAAATGAAATTTAATGTCCTACTGTTCTGCACCAACTGGGCTTATTTCTAATTCCAACGGTAAAGGGTTCTTTTATGTGCATGTCAATGTGCACACAGGACCTCAGGTTTTGTCCCATCCTAAAGACTATATTGTCCCTTGCCGGACCCACCGTGCTGCACCTCTGACAAGGAGGAAGCCGCCGAAATCCTGATGAACTTTCTTCGGTCTACTCTCAGTCATATATCGAATTCCAACGGCCAAGGGCTCTTTTACATGCACACCAATGTGTACACAGGACCTCTGTTTTTTGTCCCATCCAATAGAATATATGTTGTCATTTGATGGACCCACCGTTTCGCACCACTGACAAGGGGCAACCACGCTGAAATCCTGATGAACAGTGAGCCACCCCGGCTCCATAATATTAATAACCAATTTTGCTTTTAATGGCTGATAATTAAACTCAGAAATCAATCAACAAAATTAGTAACCTGAAAAAAAGAGGTCCTGTGTATGTACATGTTGGAGAACCTGGTTGGTTCAGAAAAGTAGGACAATAAACCCCATTTCATTTTTCATGTAGGGCACCTGCCGGTATTTGTAAATTTAATAGTTTTTACTTTAAGGTCAAAAGAATATTTAACAACCCTGATTTCTATCTATTTTAAATAATAAATTTGAAATAAATTTGGTGAAACAAAAATGAGTAGCCTTCTGTCATATTGTCAATATAAGATAAAACACCTTAATCAATAACATCTGAACCCAATCAGTGATATAAATATAATCTACATGTACATCATACAAAGTACATAGTATTTGAACTTTCAAGGTACGATATGTAAAATCTTTTATCATCATACATGTATGTCAAGGACAAATTTCATCCTTGTATGACTATTCACAAAAAATATCCTAAACCATGACATAGAACACACAGCTAATAAAATACAAATTTGCAGGGAATCGAAATTTGAGTACAAAATTAAGCATGGCAACTTTACTCGACTTTTCTGGCAACGTCTGTGAAATTACCCTTGGTAGAAGTGGACATCCCACAAATGAAAGAATTTTACTCTATTACATGTAGTTTGTATATTGCACTTCCTAGTCCTACAGAGAGAATACAGTTCAGCTTTTAATACGAGAGTCAGAAATCATTCATGTAATAAAAATAACCAATATTTCAACTACAATATGTGTATATTTAAGTCACACTACTAGTATACTAAGTAAAGTAAAAGTGAAATGTTACTGCCAGCACAAAAATAATATTATAAGTCAGGTGAATTGAGTAATAAGATTCCTAACTGGGATTTCACCTGTAACTGAAGATTTCACAATAACTTATTGATTTTATCTGACTAGCTCTATAAATAAGTTAATAACTAAAGAAAAAATATTAACAAGACATTAACCAGGGCGAAAATATCACACTATCTTCAGTGAAACTAGGCTATTTCACGATCAACAGATTGGTATAATTTTATTTCAATACTGATAATACGCTTGTGCGTAGGAGTCTTTAGCAGTAGTAGGAAATCAGAGAAACTCACAAGTTTGGGCAGGCAACTCTATTGTCTTTAGTCCTTTTCAAGTAGTTAGGAGAATCAAAACCACCTCACTTGATTCAATGACAATTCATTATGATCTAAAGTAAAGCATATGTTAGATCACCTGATAACCAAACTTCCCTAACCCAGAATTAAATGATTAGCAGTATAATAGATGTACATTTTCATAGTGTGTCACAGACAGCAATGTAGAAGATTGGAATCCAATGTGAATAGATCTATAGCTGTACATCATATGTTTAGATTTTAAAATCTTTACTACAATTTTTGTAAGAATACAGATCAAAAATAACAAATAATCAATATGTTATCAATGACAAGCAGCCTACAGGTACATGTAGGCCCTATAAAATATAACTATTTATCAACTGGTTAGTAGACATTTGCATCAATTCACACTTCTTAAACACAATTTAATGAACCAAAGCTAAGGGGTAACCCGCTGAAATTATAGCTATAAATATGCTCCTAAAAAGGTTACAAATGCAACATGTTACTAAAGGACACAAACATTATTGGAGACACGTAACATTTTCATTTATGAACAATTTGGATGAATGATTTTTAGATATGTTGTGCGCAGACTTCCCCTCGCGGACAGATTATCCCCGCGTATGCACAAATCTCTGTCTAATTTTCGATGAATAACCTGCACAGGCGCTGAGTTTACTCTGTGCAGGGTATATTTAATGGATTACCGCACTGATAATCCACCCCGTCATTAAATGTTTCATCTGTTCTGTATATTTCACTAATCCATTCAATATTTCGCAAATCATCTTGTAAATATATCACTTAGGTGGAAACAGGCATTAAATAGCGCTATTTCTCACACTTATAATCCGCCTAATCCTACTCGGCATTCACCATGCATCACTGCGTTATTTTTAGTCATTTAATGATTTTTGTGACAGTCAGTTTCCTGGTATAAGTACGAGCAAGGTGATGCAAAAAGAAAAGTATGATCACATAGTTGACTATCTCGAAGGAAGAAGATTCTATTTTTTTATTGTTAGCATGCCACTGCCCCAAAAAAAACCATTGATTCCACCAAAATCTTCAATGGGTATACTTATGTGGAGTTGCATACAATAATATATTTTAGTGGGAACTAGCCAATTTTTTGGCTGTTTCACACCAGAGCCTGACATCCCTTTGAAAAAAGATTGGGCCTGCAGTTTACTGGTACAAGTACGAGCAAGGCGATACAGAAAGAAAAGTATGATCGCACAGTTGATTACCTTAAAGCAAAGCAGTAGTGAGAATTCAGAAACTCGTACATTGCACTTTGATAAAATATTTAAAAATCTGTCAACTTTTTAAAATTGTTATAAACGTAGTTATCTCAACTATACAAAAAAAAACACACTGAAGTTTACGTTAATTACAGCAAATATTTCTGGACATTCAGGCACGTGATCAGTTGACGTACCGGACACCGGTATAGCAAAGATTAAATCTTATTCTTAGCACACGCGCTAATTATGCAGCGATATTGAAAATTATTTGAAAAATGATTACAGACAAAGTCGATTGAGGACAGATCCTATATGGGGCGTCTAACATCCTACTTCGATCCTTAAAAAACATTGAGGAGTAATCAGCACAAAGTTGACAATCTGCGCACCAGCTTGATACGCGCAGATTACAATCCGCATGTGCATTGTCCAATCTCATCTGCGCGGATAAAGTGGACTCCGCGCTACACAGGTGGAGAATGAGCCAAACATACACAATATCATGGAAGTTATCTGAAGTCTTAGTGTCGGCGGTATCTATTCTATGTATTGTAATAAATCTATAGGCTATTATTATTATTTTGGATATCTCTTGACGTTTTGGTTTTAACAGCACAAGCACATTCTATTTTGTGATCTGTGTCTTGCAGATAGTTGCTGAGGTTCCTGTACATATTAAGTATTAATAACCAACTGTCAATACCATAAAGTAAAAGGTTACTCACAATCAAGATGTTTTTTCTTCGGTCCAATTATTTCTTCGGTGGTGGCCTTGCAAACCGTTTTCGCCAATCCTTGACCGGCGACACTAAATTTAGCCGCTTGAAAGCGGTCCATAATACTTTGGCCCGACATTTTGACAAAATTGTAAATAAATTATCAGATTGTTTTACCAGGCCCAGAAATAAGGGCCCAGACTTCTGGACAATATTCTGACACCTATCGGAAAAAGGGGTGTTGATCTCTTCAACAATCCAAGATGGCGGTGATTGAGGCGAAAATTTCTTGATCACGTGACATGGGAGCATCCATTTTCAAAATAATCTGTCATAAATTTAGAAACCATGTAGATAATGTTCATCTTCACTACTGTTTAATGATATCAAAATGTGTCCATAAAATGATGAGACTGCTGTTTAATTTATATGTTTAAAATTTAAAACAAATAGACAGCTTCTTCACAAAAACGCATTCTGGTCAATGAAAATAAAAAAAATAATAAAAAATTGTTTGAGCTTTTATATTTTCTATTACATTAAAAACCCCTTCAAAGATTTTTGTGAAAAAAAGTATAATAGAAAAAAGGGACTTGTATACTAAAACGGAGAATACATTACATATCTACTATGCAAATTAATTAATATACATTTAATCAAAATCTGTTTTTTGCTAATAATTATAACAGGGGGGCTTTAAACCAAAGAATAAGTAGGCTATTCTAATTCTACATTAAACTCAGCAATTGCATATTTAAAGTTGATGGTTGTCACAAGTATTGACATAAAACTGATTTAATCAATTAGATTTCTGTTTGGAGGTGTTATCACTTTTACCAAGAAAATAAATTCAGGCCTAACTAATTAAATTGGAATAATATCATATTTAAAATAGGCTTCAACTCCACTAATTATCAAAAATCCCAGAGCTAGCCTACTTTGATAATTTTTTTTCATCACTATACTCCTTAAAAGCTTGAAATGAAAATTTATATGACCTTAATTATACATAGGACAAAAGTCAAGGTCTCTGTGTCTATGAGGTTTCTTCACTAGGAGCCGCAGTGGCTCAGTGAGTAAGGTGCTAACTCAGTTCAATCCGGGTGTTGGCAGGGAAAATTCCCTGGGATTTTCTAGGGTAGTATCCCCTTGTCATTGGTGCAGGATGGAGGACTTACCAAGAACAGTGTCCAGTCATTCGGATCAGACAAAAAACAGAGGTCTGGTGTACACATCGGCATGCACGTAAAAGAATCCTTACAGTTGGTATACAAAATAAGAGTACACCATAATGCCGCTGTCTGGGATATCAAGTATGCCCATCTTCATTAGTACAGTCAGAGCAGAACAGTAGGACGTTAAATGCCATTTCGTTTCGTTTTAATATAAATGGTGGAATTAAGGGTGGCACAATCTGACTAAAATACAGATCGTTTTGTTTTCTTATACTTTTGATGGCCTCTATTACATGAAGATCTGACCGGTTGTAGTGGGGGGTCATGTCAGGGGTCATACAACATTTAATTAACCAATCAGAATTAATGTTTCTAGTGGGAAACCCACAGTTCCAAGAACTTGCTGCAACAGAATGTTTCATTGGCTATCCCTCACATCAACCAGAATGTGGGTTATATAACAACTCTTCCAGATCAAAGTATAGTAAAGACAAGTATGTAAATAGAAATTTTGAACTATAAAAAACGAAACAATCAGACTGAGGGTGGCAAAGGAGGCATTTGACCACAGGCTATCAAGTCACAGTTGTATTCTAACTTTAAAACATCGCATCGTCCTAGTAATTTTAAGTACTAATCCACACAAAAAAGTTTTTAACAAGGGCTAACCACTCTGCAATTAATTTCACTTTTGCCATTTTTCAATATATCAATATCTTAATCCACATGGTCAATTATATGGAGTGATATATTTGCCTTAAAAACTTGTTTTCCTACAAAATATATGTTTATGAAGGGAAACAACTCTTTTAAACAGGCAAATTTTGGCTACCATCTATAATTGGAATAAAGGCGATACTAAAAATAAGATATAGATATATATATACTTTATTGTGAAAAAACCTTAAATTAAAAACAATTCCTTTAAACAAAGCAAATGCGTATTAAAATATGGAGACATTCATAAATAATGTGGTCAATAAAATACACATAAACAAAAAAACAGTCATCTTAACAAATTTGATTTTCAATGCTCTAACATGTATTGTTCAACCCAATACCATATAACTTTAGGCCGTATAAAAAAAAAAATTCGTTTCTCAGACATTCCTGCATAGCATGACCCTTTTTTATGTTTAAAAAAAACCCCAAAAGAAATGAAATGAAATGGGGTTTAACGTCCTACTGTTCTGCTGATATACTGGGCTAATGAAGACGGGCATACGCCATACAGTGTGCTATGAGGTAAATTTTGCCCGGGCAGTGGCACTATCGCCTACTCTTATATCAAATTCCAACTGCCAGGGGATCTTTTATGTGCATTCCAATATATACACGGGACCTCGGTTTTTCATTTCATCCGAAGGACTAGACAGCTGTTCTTGTCAGGCCCTCCGTTCTGCACCACTGACAAGGGGAAACCACGTCGGAAAATCTGGATGAACTTTCTCAGCCAATGCAGGGATCGAACACCCGACCTCCAGGCTAGCGAGCCAGCGTCTTAACAACCTAGCCACCGTGGCTCCCCACCCCCCCCAAAAGAAAAACAGTCTCATTGATAACCCCTCGGAAATGTTTGCTTCTGGTTTCACGAATTAACTCTTAATTTGAATGAATTCAGAAATGTACCTTAGGCTCAAACATCAACCCTGATAAATGTTACTGACAATCATATACCTTTATATAAACAACATTATGAGATATGTGTGTACTGTAGTGCCTTAAAATGTGATAGTTCATGAGAACACAAAATAAAACCAGCGGCTGCCAGGCAGGATACGCCCATATTTTCGAGAGATGGATAGAGAACAAGCTAACAAGAAAGTGATTTTTCCTACAATCAAGGGCCATAATTCAGGAAATTACAATTCGATATGCGCATATATCGAAAGGAACAGAGATCTTTGTGTTATAAACTTACATTTCAAGTTTCAACAAAATCGGATAAAAATTGTGACCTCTATAGGGTCCACAAGCTTGATATACCATATTTTTACGCTATTTGAGAACGAACGGCGGTCATTTTGTTTGTCAATTTTAGGGCGATTTTCACAAAATTCAAACTCAACTGTCCTTAGGGTGGAACGGTAATATAATAATACGTTTTTTTAAATCGGATAAAAATTATGACCTCTAATGGGTCCACAAGCTAAAAACATGATTTTTCATACAATCAGGGGCCCTAATTCAGGAAGTTACGGTCCGATATGGGCAAATATTGAAAGGAACCGAGATCTTTGGGTTATAAACTTATATTTCAAGTTTCAACAAAATCGGATAAAAATTGTGACCTCTATAGGGTCCACAAGCTTGATATACCATATTTTTACGCTATTTGAGAATGAACGGCGGCCATTATGTCTGTCAATTTTGGGCCGATTTTCAGGAAATTCAAACTCAGTCGTCCTTAGGGTGTAACGGTGATATAAATCAGATAAAAATTATGACCTCTATAGGGTCCACAAGCTAAAAATGCGATTTTGCGTACAATCAGGGGCCATAATTCAGGAAATTACGGTCCGATATGCGCGAATATCGAAAAGAACCGAGATCTTTGGGTTATAGACTTACATTTCAAGTTTCAACAAAATCGGATAAAAATTGTGACCTCTATAGGGTCCACAACCTTGATATACCATTTTCTTACGCTATTTGAGAACGAACGGCGGCCATTTTGTCTGTCAATTTTGGGCCGATTTTCACGAAATTCGAATTGAGTCGTCCCTAGGGTGTAACGGTGATATAATAATCCCTTTTTTTAAATCGGGTAAAAATTATGACTTCTATAGGGTCCACAAGCTAAAAACGTGATTTTTCGTACAATCAGGGGCCATAATTCAGGAAGTTACGGTCCGATATGCGCAAATATCGAAAGGAACTGAGATCTTTTGGGGATAAACCTATATTTCAAGTTTCGTCGAAATCGGATAAGAATTGTGACCTGTAGAGAGTCCACAAACAATTGTGGACGGACGGACGGACAGGGGCGACGGCATAATACGTCCACATGAAAATGTGGCCGTATAAAAAACCCAAAACCTCCCTCCTGCATGCGATTTTTAGGAAGGATTGTCTGAGAACCAAAACATATTTTGTTAATATGACCTTATAAATCAATGTATTAAATGCTTTTTTTCATGAACACAGAATAATATAATAAATAAAGCCATTCAAATAATTCAACAATCAGCAGCACCATTTCCTATGTACATTTAATAGTTTAACAAATTGAAATGATTTAACAAGCTTTAAAGGAGAAGTCTAGTCATTACAGATTTATTATATTTGATTCATTTTCTAGTATTAAAATAGTTTCCATGATGCAGTACGATCTATTTTTCCTTTAATTAACCTGGTCTTAAACATACATTATGCAAGAGCTAAATCTGCTTATCGCAGGTCTTTCTTTAGGCCTGAAATGTTTTCTAAATTATTAATTAGACATTAATTAACTTATCCAGGGCATAATCAACTCTCGATGGCATCAGATTTCTCCGATATTAAACAGATTAGAACAGTTCAGCCATATTTTGATTTAGGCTAATAATGGAGGAGCAAGACTTGGCTTTGAACAACCAGTACAGTGGTTGAAATTATTGCACAGGTCAACCCTTCAAAGACTAATATCTTCGCTCACAATAGAATAATTTGAATGAAATTTTCAAATTATTCATTTTACATGTACATTATCTATTTTCGAACTATTACAGCAAGAACGGTTAGCTCTTTATCTAAATCTTACATAATGTATCTTTAATTTTCCCGGATAGTGCAGAAAAGCAGGATGTTAAACTCATTTCATTTCTTGAATTAACCAATTAACACAAGGGGTGTGAGGGGAACTGTAAGTCCTTGTAAATACACAAACCAGCACCACATTCTGTACTTGATTTGTACTTCAAGTTATGCATGGATGAAACTAATTTAATACAAGGTAATGAATAAAATATAGGAAAATTCTGAAATGACTGGAGTTTTTTATTTAACTTTAGAGTTGATCACTTAAAGACAATAAGTAGATAGATTGTAAATTTTTGTTTGATGGCAATCCATTATATCATGTTGTAATTGTATTCTTACCCAAAGAATGACAAATAGCTCATCAAATATGACCCATTAAAACTTCCTAGTAGTTGCGATATAACTTCCAACTCTCTATTTCACTCTCTATTTCAAAACACGACGACTTAAAAGAGTCATGGTTTAGAATAAATGAAAATTTGCAAATACAACCCAATATCAGTGACTAGATATATTCTTACTTTGATTAATGGCCAAAACCTCAGTGATTTGTAAGCAGAAGGGAAGGATGAAACCAATGTAACAAAATATAAAAATAGTATCAAAATTAACATGGTCAAATTTAGTTGAATGTTTGTGAACATGAATACAATGTGGATTAAAAACAACAATATTTGAACAAAAGCAACACCTTTACAAATCATATAATAAATTTAAATGTCCATATGGAACCAGTGGGATCTAAGGCCACACAAAATAAATGTCTTGTTTCTCGGGCAACTGACAGCTGAAACTGTAGGGAGGGAGGGCGGTTTCTTTTTTTTTTTTTACTCATTGATGGTGCAAAATAAAATTTGGCTATTGCTGAAAATTGTTGGGGCGGGAGGGCGGTCTTTCTTTTTTTTTTTTTTTAAATGAGAAAGTCATTACTAGTTTACGTTTTTGCTTTCCGTTATATTCAACTTTATTGTACATACTTAAAACATAAACCCAAAATCAAGTCTACTAAAACACTGAGACTGAACACTGACTGAAAGGAAAATAATTTTCCATATTTAATTCACATAATTGAAATTGGTTTAAAATAAAATTCCATACGACTATGTAATAGCCCTCCATAAAGACAACAATATTTTTAAAAACTAAGCCTCTTTCACCAGGTGTATCATAAATAATAATCATGGTAAACAGTATTTAAAACTAAATCTAGTATCGCCGGTTTATTTATAATTATTTACCGAATTCCAACCAATGCATGTCACACCGTGTCATCGGTATTGGAGATTGCCGGAAATACTGTTTCTTGGGATATTCGGTGTGTTTCTCAGGATATTCGGTGTTCTATCCGGTGTTTATATTGAATGACTATTTAAATCTAACTAACAACTGGTCAGTAAAACCATCAAATCGGTAATCCAATTATTATTTTCCGGATTATCGAAACTACCGTAAATGTGCTAATAATGACCCAGATTCTAAGGTATGCATTATGACGACTATCGTCATCGTATCGTATTCTTAGCTATAATTAATTAACCTGTTCTACGGTTCATTATTTTATCAATAGGATTTTCCAAACAAGGACCGACTGAAGCCGGCAATAATGAGCCGATTACGATCGAATGATCGAAATATTGTCGCCAATGACTTTTAACACGAATCAAATTCTAGTTTATCAGGGGAGGTAATTAATATCACGTGATACAAAATGGAGGTTCTTTCGATATCAATAAAAAAGGCAAATCTGCCAAACTTCGCCATTGTTCGGATAAAAATAACAGCATGTTCATCTGAATCAGTTTTAATACATTTGAATAGATATACATGTATGGCGGATGTAGGTACATGCGGGATATTTTTTTTACGACTTGCTTGTCGATGTGCGGGCGGGCGTTACATATTTATTTTTTTTCATCAAGACTAATAAATAGACTGCACGCGCAACCAATTTTGCGTGCGGGCGGTGCCCGAGAAACAAGTTATTTTATTTGTGTTGCCTAATATTTACATAAATCACACTTAAAGGACAACTAAAGCTGTCTGGCACTTCAGGAGCCAAAATATACCTTAAATAAAGTTTCAAAGGGTAACTCAAGACAACTTGCACCTCAGCCACCAAAGTATACCTTAAAGCCCAAACCCATTTCTACAATCTTGTTATCAATCTCAATGTAAGGAGTTCAAAACTTTTTGTTAAAGGGCTAATCCCGATATTTTTGGGAGAATAAAACTGCTTAATTTTGTGTTAAAATCCCTTAAAATCCTCTAGCTAAGGGCCAAGCAACTAACTCAATATTTATGATAAGTTTTCAAACAACTTAAACCCGTCAGTCTTCCTCTGGAAACGGAGACCGGTGTCGCAAGCTGTATTATGTGGAGTCTGGGTAAAACCAGACTATTATTTTATAAGAATAATGTGTAGGTGAAATTTACCTATCGTTATCAAGTAGAGCACATGGGTCATTCACTATATAGATCTCTAAAGGAATGGGAATCGATTATCAGGTCACCCAACGAAACAACTGACCCGAAATCTTAAAAGGGTTACGTGTCCGGATAAGCAGTTTTGACGTTCACGTCCAAATGACTCAATATTTTGAGCTGGAATTTTGAGAGAAGGTAAACACACCATTCCTCTATATTTTGGAGCTTAAATTTCATACGTACTCCGTCATTTATTTTAGAGCCTCTCTTGAAATCGGGATAGTCCCTTTAAATATTTCAGAAAATTTCAAAAATATCTAAAATCACCCTTCTAAATTATTAGATGAGCCACAAGTGGAGTTCAATCTTAATTTGACAAAAAATAAAGTTGTAAGTTCAAATTTTCTAACAATCGAGGCAGTTATTCAGAAAAGCACAGAAGTATCCATGTACCTGTAAACTAGAGACATGGTAACAATCATATTAAACTAATCTAAAATCTCCTCTTTGGCAATCAAAAGTAAAAATATACACATCTTTGATTCAAAACGTTACGCACTAGAGCATTGACAATGTCCTTCAGTTGAGGTGAACGTTGAACAGTTTCTGATATTGAAGCGAGACATTTCAACAATAGATAACATTAACAATGTCCTTCCCTTAAGGAGAATGAACATTGAACAGTTTCAAATTTGGCAGTAAGACATTTCAACAAGAAGTTTAGCACTACAGCAGTCGATAGATTCTAAATGTCTTATTTGTGAAAACAGACTTGAAATATTTGGAATATTTGGAAGAATTGTATCTGATTATATCACAGAATCTTGGAACTTTACTTTCGATCAAACCGGGTACTGCCTTTCCTTTATCTGGTATCTGAAAGATAACATAAGTGAATGTTTAAGACTTTGTTATTAAATCCCAATCAAAGAGGTTCTGTGTTCATCTTGCGGGGTACTTGATTGACTGTTCCTGAATTGAATTCTCTCAATCCAAAAACAGTGACGTGAAAGGGAGATTTCAAGTTACAACGCACATGCCGACTGAGAGAGAGAGAGAGAGAAATGGGGTTTAATGCCCACTCAACAAAAACTAGGTCATTTAGGGACCAACATGTGGTACAAATTATATTTCAATAATTCGCTTGTGCATAAGGGTCTTTAGTAAAGACAAGAAAAATAAAATTTTGAACTATAAAAAACAAAATAGGATCTTTAATCAGATTGGTTCTGGACTAACAATTGAATATTCCTTATGTTACAGAGATTTCTTAAAATGTATCCAAGCCATTTCAGGATTAAAATATGGTACAATTTTTATTTCAATTATTAGTTTGTAACCAGGCAATAAAATCCTGCATGACAAACAAAGACTTACCATTCCGTTGACCAGATCAATAATGTCTGGTAAAGCACAATAATCTGTATTATGTGACAAACAGATACTATCTTCTAGTATTATATAATGTGTTTTATATTTCTTTAATATATTATATATATCACCAGGTTCACGTCTTCCATATATCTGATATATCTACAATATAAAATAATCAATAGGCTTGATTGTTATTAATTAATACACCAGTGGCGTACAAGGTGGGGGGTAGAGGGGTCAAGGGCCCTGATTATATTTAATTTGTATAAAACTAATTACTTGATAGCATTTGTCAGTCCTTATGTTATTGGTTGTAATTATCATGTACACTTGTCAGTCCTTATGTTATTGGTTGTAATTATCATGTACACTTGTCAGTCCTTATGTTATTGGTTGTAATTATCATGTACACTTGTCAGTCCTTATGTTATCGGTTGTAATTATTAAGTACACTTTCGCAATTCTGCTATGTATCAATTCGTGGAAATTTCTAAACCCTAACCACTAATACAATGTTAGAATTTATGGAAATGAAATGATGGGCATATTCCGCGCAGCTTGCTATAAGGGAAATTTTGCTTTGCCCCGACAGCGGTGCTACGGCCTACTCTTTTTTCAAATTCCAACTCTCATGCTCCAAATTAACAGAAAGAGAGAGAGAGAAATGGAGTTTACTTTCACTCAACACAAACTCAGTGATTTCAGGACTAACATATGGTTCTATTTTATTTCAATAATTCGCTTGCATGTAGCGGTCTTTAGGAGTGGGAGGACAACGTTATGATCTAAAGCGAGCGCATACATTCAACAAGTATCTAATTTTACCTGTTTGGTTTTATCTCTAAGATCTTTATCTTCATAATGTGGATGATTAGTTATAGGTCGTCCTGTACATAGTTTTACACCTGCTAATAACTGCATACTACCACTAAAAGAAGCAGTTTTAGCCGTATTCTTACTAAAAAAATATACAATAAACAATTAAACAAAAGAAATGTGATTGAAAAATGGCATTGGTAACCAAAATTAAGATATGTTAGAGCTTGTTGAAAACAACTAAATTATTACGACAGACACCAACAATAGTCCAAGGAACAATCATTCAAAGTTTCATGTAAGCCGTACTTGACTTGGTGGAGACTAAGGCTTTATTCAAAGAGCGTCATCCCCAAAACGAAGATAAAATGGAATGCAATGTGATTAAATGTCCAACTGTTCTGCTCCTACTGGGCTAATGAGGACAGGCATGCAGAATGCTATGAAGCAAATTTTGCTCGAACAGTGTGCACTCTTATTTCGAATTATAACTGTCAAGGGTTCTTTTACGTGCACGCCAATGCGTACACAGGACCTCGTTTTTTTGTCACATCCGAATGACTATACATTATCCCACCATGAGAAGAAGTACAACAAGATGAGTAGTGCTTGTCGACCAATTCCTGGTCCACAACTAAACGCATAGTTTTACTAGACAACATATACACTTACCACTAGCTTTTTGATTGTTCAATTTAAAGCTTTCAGATTCATGGACACTAACTCGCATAAAATTTTAATAGGGTTGCTCCTTAAAGATAATTCAAACAATCCAACATAGTTTGAAAAAGGAATTTTAAAAATTCTGACCTGCATAGTGTTCACAAGATTTCGGTGAAAGGGGCAGTAACATTGAAAAATGCCACAATTCTGAATTTTGATAGGGTTCTGCAAACAATTTTTTAAAAAAATCTGACGTCTAGAGCTTTATAAGAAATTTGAACAGATGAACGGACAAAGGTGCCAACAATATACATACATTTACATGAAATGTGGGTGTAAAAAAATTATACAAATTTTGGCAAAACATCAACATACTTTATCCATTGCATTAGTTCTACAGTATCAGGATCCCAGAATTCTTTTAACTCTGACAATTCCTGCTGTATTGATGGCATCCACTAGAACAAAATATGAAACATATGCATTAATCAAACTGTTATTTAAATTCTATGATCAAACCATTCTTTTTTTAAAAAAATAATAAACAAAGAGAACAGTGATGGCTTTAGTATTATTAAAAGCTGATTTATGACAACAGATTGTTCTGGCTTGCTTAAGACTTATTAACACTTTAAAATATTCGTCAGTATTCAATAATTAGTGACTATAAAGTTCATTTGAAAATTATATAATTTTAAACACATTTATCTGGGTGGCTATAGTGATACATGTCATGCAGGACTCAGAGTATGCTTATTCATTATAGAACACCAGGTATTTGTTCATCTCCATGATATAGTCGCTTTCTGAACTATATGTATTTATAAAACTTGTGTATTGAATTCAAATGTCACATTAAAGGAGTTACACCGCTATTCCTTGGGACCAAAATGAATGCAAATGGTCAAAAAAAACCCCACATATTAATGTAATGGCAGTCGAAATCATAGAAAAAACAACATTGCTCACCGTTTGTTGTGTCTTAAATATTGAATATTAGGAACCCATAAATAAGAACATCAATATTGATTGAAATGGACCAATAATAAATTCTAATTTGTGTTTTTAATGTTGAAGATTATGGATGATACCAAGTTAAGAGATTAAGCTATTTTAAAGATAAGAAAGAAATAAAGAAATACAACATACCAGATATCCTATGCTTCCTATAAACGTTAAACACACTGTATAACGAACAACATTTATCTTTAAAGAAAAATACAATAACAAGATTGATGATAAAATATAATAACATATGTTTCTGCGAAAAAAGAATGAGGCTCCGTCCATTCACGTAGGATTGACATGAAACCCGTCATGCTTGTTCCTTGGACAACTGTGCATCCATTGATGAACTTTGATTTTTCATATTATGTCACAATTCCAAGATGACAGTGATGCTTGGTTCCTGGTCCATGTAGTACTCTCATTACTGCCTGGGACTATAGAGTGTAGTAGAAGCTTACAACTGACCACGGATCCATTCACTTAAATTGATATCTGTATATTGCTTGCAGTGTTTGTCCACAAGTTTGTCTTATCGGTTTTCTTTGTGTGTAATGTGGTCCTCCTGCACTTTGAATTTATTTAACATATCAAATATAAGCTTATTCAAAACAAATTCTCAATTGAGCACAATGAAAACACAACATAATTTATATGGAACACAATGATAGCATTCCATAAAAATTGTGTTTTGTTTTTGATATCACATTCTTTTCGTTTACAGAATTTTTAGAAGGAAATGACATAAAAGCCCACTTACGATTTTATCCTTAGATGTGAATGACAACAGTGTTTTCCACAAAGTCATATCTCCTATAGCATATCCAGCTAAAACACACATATATGGTGTCCATAAATACTTCATTCTCATAGTTGTGATTGCTAAGATACCAAACATTACAGCTTGAACTGAAAGCAAACCAATCATATTTACTTTTTCATCAATAAAGGGAGGCACAGTGGCTCAGTAAGTAAGGTGCTGGCTCACTAACCAGGAGGTCCTTGGTATTGAATGAGAAAGTTTCTCAGGATTTTTCAGTGATTTGACATCCAGGGCTGGGTAAAGAAATGCGTCTAGTTGTTTTGATTGGGTAAAAAAACAAACGTCTTTTGGAGCACATGTTACACAACCCTTGGCAGTTGGAATTTGACAAACAGTCCTGATGTCCTGGCAATATTTCTCTCAAAACACACTGTATGGCTTAAGCTTTCTTCATTAGCTCTGTTGGGCTAGGCTAATTTGGGACTAACAAGGTTTCCCCTTGTATGTGGTGCAGGAAGAAGGGTCTGGCAGGGAACAGTGGCTTTTTATTTGGATGGGACGAAAAAACAGAGAGTTCCCATGCACATCTTGGTGTCTATGTAAAAGAACCTTTGAAAGTTAGAATTTCGTTGCTGTTCAGGCAAAGTTTTCCTCATAGAACACTGCATGGCCTATGGCCATCTTCATTAGCCCAGTAGCACCAGAACAGTGGGACTTTAAACCCCATTTCATTCATTCAATTTTCTATCAAAGAATATCCACACAACTTACTTGCATGGAAACATAATTCAGGTCGATATGATAATAAACAATCTTGAACTTCTGGTATATATAATTTCTTTTCTGTATTGGAACTGTAAAAAACAGAATAACCATGGGTATCTGAGACTGAATTAATAGGATTATGTGATGACATAGGGTCGGTTGGTTTGAAAAACTTTTTTATTTTTTTTTGTGGGGTTTGGTTTGTATTATCTATGTCATAGCATTTCTAGCTTACATAGATAGAAATTTAACATGAAATTTATATTATGTAGCTAACATTAAAGTGCAAAATTTGAGTACCTATATCAACAATATAGGTTGATATCATAATCCACCAGATATAGGTGGGTTTGGTGGTCAAGTGGTATAACGCATGCATTTTAGATCATAAGGACTGTCAGACTCATACAAACAAGATAATTATTGAAATAAAATGTTATCACATGTTATTCTCTCTCTCAGTCACTCTCACTCGCTCTCTCTCTTTATCAGTCTCTCTCTCCCCCAGTCTAAGACTTGTAGTTTCTCAGTTTCTCTCTATTGGTCTCACTCTCTCCACCAGATATACATACATAGAAGAAAATATTTCATACCTCCACCTACTGAGAACAGTTAAAACAAGTAAAGTAAGTAACACAGTATGGGCAATAACATATATAGGGAAGATAACTCCTCTTGATAAACCAATATAAATGGCGGCTGGTAAACTTCTAAATATATCCAAACATAAATATAAACGTGAATCAAAATCTCTGAAAATAGAAAATAATACACATATTTTTACATTTCTGATGAATTTGTGCGTTATATCTGGACCCTTATCAGATTGTATATGACTTCAGAAGGGTTCTACTAATCATTGACAAGAACTGCTAAGAGTCTTTATTTTTTCAATAGCACTCAAAATATTGCAAAAAGTGATAGAAAAAAAATGATAGGTTATAGATATCTACATTATATACATCATAATCCAAAATTTAAATTATGGATAATTAAAAATAAACGGTTCTACCTCAACTCAGAGTACAAATTTATAAAATGGCAACAGGACACTTGATACAAATAAATAAACTCACTGGGTGGAAGGAGTTCACATAGCAGATCTAGTTTGAAATCAAACATTTTGTGAAATTTTTACTTTTTCTAGGCACAATTATCTACACAATGATACTTTTACCACACATTTTGTGTTACATTATTAACAAGCATACAATTATAAAAACTTTTGTTTACATTTGAAATAATGAAATATTTATCCAATATGTAAAAGTACAAATAAGCCAAAAAGAATAAACGTGTTTACGGTTACTTGTCCGCAAAAAATAGGGTCGGTTGGTTTGAAAAACTTTTTTATTTTTTTTATGTGGGGTTTGTATTATCTATGTCATAGCATTTCTAGCTTAATTACTAAGTATGGTTCTTGAAAATTATACCGAAAATACGGTGTTAAAATTTGTCTGGAGAAAATCATGCCAAGACCGAGTTATAGAGCCTGGGAAATGACAGAAAAAAGTTTAGGGTCGACGATTTTGGTTAAAAAAATAAAGTTGGTCGGGTAATTGTTTACACAGGTATTTTTGATATAGATTTGATATTTATCCATACAAAATGAAAATATTACCTTGGATTACCGTAACCAACTTTGTTTAAAACAAATTTATATATGTGTTCATCAGCATCAAGTTCAATATACCACTAAAAATAAACAAACATGTAATAGTCAGTTCAAATATTTCTAAAGTGAAAAGCTATAAGTAATTTAAAACGAATACAAGAAACCCTCTAAAATAAATTTCCTTAGAAAAGTAATACAAATTTTGCAATTTTCTGCTTTATTCAGCTGCTATTTGAGGGTTTTATTGATACATATTGGCACATAAAGGAATCCTAAACAGTTGGAATTCAAAATAAGAGTAGACTGTAGCGTCACTGTCCTGGCAAACCTTCACTCATAGCATGCTGCATGCCATTTACCCTTCTTCATTAGCCCAGTTCGTGCAGAAAAGTAGGATGTTAAACCACATTTCACTTCATTTCTTTCTATTATAATATAGTGGACTGGACTGTTGCCTTTGTACTGTTATGTGGTCTGATTGTTATTATAAATATATCATACCTTTATTGTTGTATTGATAATAAATGTTAATATTAACACTGCTATACTGTATGATATCACTTTAAACAACTTATATACCACACCACATGGTGCTGGATAGTTACCCTGAAAACCAGTACATAAAGTTATAGAGATAACAGGCTGGATATAGGGCCTGGCAATGAACAGGATCTAGTCATTTGGATGGGACTAAAAACTGGGGTCCTCTGTAAAATGGAATTCCTCATGTCATAGCACACTGCACTATGCATGGTCAATTGAGTGCACTTAAAACCTCAACTCTGTGAACCTTTGGGCATTTCCGGACTAACATAATGTAAATTTTATTTCAATAATTTACTGGTTACCAGGGATCTTTTAGCAGTGGGAGGGAAACTTGGAGGATCTGGGGGAAAACCCACAAGGTTAACTTGGTGACCTTACTCCTTGTACAAACTTAGGATCGAAGCCACGCCACTTGACCAAATGACAGACCGTATGAACTAAAATGCATACATTAGATAACTCGAACACCCTTCCAAATAAGAGACACAAACTAAGTCATTTCAGGACTAACATATGGTTCAATTTTATTTCAGTAATTCGCTTGCACGTATGGGTCTTTAGTAGTGAGAGGAAATAGGAGGACCCGTTGAAACCCCACAAGGTTGGAGAGGCGACCCTACTCCTTGTCACGTCACAACCGGGGAACTGAATCCACGCCAGCTGACTCAATGAAAGACCTTAAGATACAACGCGCACGCACTAACCATTCGGCCATCCAATCCCCACCATATGACCAAAAAAGAACTAATAGTTGTTCATTCAATACTGTCTATGTATACTTACCCTAATAAACATGAGTATGTAAAACGCCGCTATAAAACTGATAAATAAACCACCGATTATCATGGGATTAAAATATTGTAAATAATATAATGTTAAAAACGATAATAACTGCATAAACATCACTCTTCTGATCTGAAAGAAAGAAACAAATTCAAACAAACATCCAACTACGGTTACTGTATAAAATTATTTTGTTAAAATTTTCAAGGGAAATAACTCTAGTTTTAAATTTATAAATTTCAGATAGATGGTCTCAGACTAGTGATCCATATTCTCTGTCGTTTGACTTCCATGCTAAATCTGTGCCATTACTTGGCCTATAAAATTCATGGAACATTCAATTTCTATAACAACAAGTAGTCCAATTACCTACAAGAAGGTTTTTATTTGATTTAAACAATATTTTATTCATAAACGAATGGGATTGAGCAACAGGCTTGAAGCCTATATCAGCTCTTTCCATAGATACAAAGGTATAATAAAGAGGCATATGCTATTTACAAAATCTGTTTAAAGAATGTACAACCATTAGATTTCAAGAACTTATATACAGAGGTTGTGTGGAAGTGTATTTTGCACTAATTTTGAAATTAAAATCTGTGACTTTGTTTGATAAAAAGGTGAACGGCTTTAGTTAGGTTGACAATCTCAATCTTTTTTCTACACCAGGTCATTTTTGTAGGCAATTTCCATAATTTAAGTCTACATGTATTTATCTATCTGCCTTAAAATTATGAACTTTCACCAAAATTTGTATAAAATGAAATCAAGGGAAATAATTACTGGTCTTAATCCAAGTGCAGGTGACATGTGAACTGAATGAAAAACTAATTATCTATTTTGTATATTTCTATATATCCAGTTTATAAAAAAAACCCACATACCTTATATGGCGGTACAACTTCTAAAACCCAAACACCAAATAAGGAAAAAGCTTGTAATAACATGATAAATTGGTTAAATTGCCAACACAAACAGAACAAAAATGTACTGGAACCAACAAATAATAAAACTAATCTCTGAAAAATAAGACAGAGAATACTATTTTTATAGTGTAAACAGTAGAAAAAGGGAGGGATTAAAAATAGTAAGGTTTTAAAAGAAATAATGAAATGAAATAGAGTTTAACGTCCTACTGTTCTGCTCCGAACTGGGCTAATGAAGACGGAGGTTTTAAAAGGCTACAATATAAGAAAGCAGAAGTATTTTAAAGGATCAAATTTAAGTTTTAGGAGGTTTAATGAAATATAAAGATCATAAAATTTGATAATTACCTCCCCACCTCGAGTTATATCTTTACGGAAAAAATAAGATATAGCGGCAATCTGTACCCACAGGAATGGTAGAGCAAAACATTCACGTAGTGCTAATGTAAATTCAACCCTTGTTGTATTATCTCTAGAAAAAGAATATTTATTCTTATAACAATAACTAAAGAGCAATTGTGAACAGAGAATGTTTAAGGCTAGAGTTGGGGCTGCAGTAGTGAGAGAGAAATGGGGTTTAACGTCCACACGACACAAACTAGGCCATTTCAAGACTAACATATATATGGTACAATTCTCTTTCAGGACACAGATGTTAGATTTAACTCCATCTTCTTTTTCGAGAAAGAAAAGGGTTTAAATACCACTCGACACAAACTAGGTCAGTTTGGGACTAACATATGGTTCAATAATAGGGGCATTAGCAGAACCCAGAGAAAACCATACTTTATGACATTACAGATTTTATGATCTAAAACATACACATTAAACCAATTGAGAACCCCCTCTCCATCGAAGATGGTAACAAAATGGTTAACCGCACTTACCGATTAATTGCATAAAATATGGCAGTCAATACACCAGTCAAACAGTTATCACTTAACATCCAACTAAGAAAGAACAAAGCTCCTACCAACACAGCTTGCAGACCAAACACAAAATTTGCATAAAAAAATATTGGTGGTATCTGAAGAAAAATAATATATTTTATTTACTGGTTCTTTCAGTGGCATCGGGGCCGGGGGCTACAGTGGCTCAGTGGTTTATGATAAGAAAAAATAATTGATTACATTTGGAGGTCTTTAAAAAAAAAAGTAGCACTAACTGAGTTTTCATACTTTATTTTGTAAAAGAAACTTGATTCACAAATTAACTGATATCTAATAATTTGCTGTTAATAAAATATTTGATTCCCACTTATGTTGTTTTTGTTTAGATAACTGCGATACGATACTGGTTATCATATTACCTGGTATAGTAATAGTATAGTATTTACCTTTACAGCTAGAAATTTAGATAAACCAGCCAATATTACTTCTTGGTATATATTCATTCTTTGTAAAACATTTATAGTAGATGGATACTCTGTTAAATTATCTCTTACTAATTCATCTATACCTGAGAAAAAAAAAAAATCATTTTCTATTTTACAGAAATAATATTAAGTGCTGGAGGACTGCATTACATGAAAACAAAACCGATAAGATTAAGACAAACCTTCTGACAAGACAAACTACACAGACATTGCAAGAATTAAAGGGACTATCTCGATTTGAACAGAGTCTCAAAAATAAAAGTCTGAGTATGTATGAAATTTAAACGCCAAAATATATAGGAATGGTGTATTTACCTTGTCTCAAAATTTCGGCTCAAAATAATGAGTCGTTTGGGCTTGACCGTCAAAACTGCTTATCCGGACACGTAACCCTTTTAAGATTTCGGGTCAATTTTTTCGTTGGGTGACCTGATAATCGATTCCCGTTCATTGAGAGGTCTATACAGTGAATGACCCAAATGCTGTACTTGATAATGAAAGGTAAATGTCACCTACACATTATTTTTATAAAATAAAAGTCAGGTTTTATATAGACACCGCATAATACAGCTTGGAACACCAGTCTCCATTTCCAGATGAAGACTGACGTGTTTCAGTAATTTGAAAACTTATCACAAATATTGAGTTAGTTGCTCAGCCCTTAGGTAGAGGATTTTAAGGGATTTTAAAACAAAATTAAACAGTTTTATTCTCCAAAAAATTATCAGGATTAGCCCTTTAAACAACAACTTATCAAATCAAGGTAATGAAACTTTGGCTTTTCAAAACTAGGTGATGCACACAAATAGGGTATATGGTTGGATGTATCTGGGTGATCTGGTGAAAAAAACAAAACAAGGTGTCTCATTGAATGATCTCAGAACAATAAATAGTAAAAAACCCTGAAACTAGCTTTTCAAAACCAAGCAATGTACACAAGTAGAGAATGTGGTTGGATGTATCAAGTGATTTGGTTTAGTGTTTGAAGCTAATGAGCTTAAATAAATTGTAAGTAAGTAATTAAATATACAATAGGTTTAATTAATTGGTTAGTGATTCCTAGGAAATTTGCAGGAAGAGCCAGTCGTAAATGAGAGGGAAGACTAGCATAGGTTAGAGATAAAAGGGCAATTTTACTACCTCTATTTAATTGATTAAAGGTGCAATTCTGCCTTAAGAGATACTGTGTCCAATGGTGCTGTTAGGAACCATTCATAAACAATTCCATAGGCATTTTTCCTGGGTACAAGTAGGTTCTATATACTATAAAGCCTTATCAGGACAGCTGGGCTGATGGTAAGTAGGTGCAGTCTGGCACGCATTATCAACCTAGCTCCAATCTGGAACGGGTTTCTTCATTTAAAGGATGTGCTTATGTAATTTCAAAGCCAATGTAAATCCCAGCCTAAAAATTCAGCATAGCGACCGAATAAAAATTTTTGCGTGTGCGAAAAATAGCACTGGCCAAAATATGATAAAAATCTAGAATTTTTCAAGTCAAAAATCTTGTCATACACTCTGAATCCACTATAATACGCTACCATACCTGATGACAACGGCCATGTTGTTTGTTTATAGCAGAGTCTTGAATATTTAGTTGCAAGAATATCTTTGAAAAAAATATACATTTACTTGTTTTGAGATAGGTTTTCACAAAACGAATTAGCTGTAATGAATAATCCCTTTTTGCACAATGATAAAGGAAACAGCGGCATTTTATTTATCTTCAATAATTTCTTGATCGAAGTAATTTGTGAGACTTGCCACCGAGTATAATGCCAGATTGGCTGAAACACCAGATATAATTGGCAGATCGGTGAGGTCAATCTTCTTGGCATGCAGTAATGTAGCAATTTTTAAGGAGTGTGCTTATTATTATGGCTCAAAACAGTAACTGTGTTTAATTGCATACATTAAAAAATTGGAATGTCATTCAGTTATTGGGTTTGGAGAATTAATAGCAAATATCTTTCAGGTGTTGAAGAATTTTTGCGAGTGTGTTTGAAAGCGCACTTCGCAAAGTTTACCGCGAGGGCTTTTTTTCAGGCTCGCACTTTTTATGAAAATGAAGCCCTGTGTAATAACCAATCAAGAACAGCAATAAATGAGTCTTATTCTTACCTTTTGAAATGGATTTTGAATTCACCAATTGTTTATAATAGGAATAAAATAAACCAGATTCTGTTCGGAATGAGATTTCTCTCTCCACCTCCTGAAAAAATATCACACACAAGTGGTTTTAAACATCTACTCTGTATGGTACTCCCGTCTTTCGTCATATAGTTCTCGGGCACTATGCATTTCCATGTGCAGAGCCTTAACAGGTTTCATTGGCTAATCCCTAACGCCATCTAGAACACAGGTTATATAACAACTCTTCCAGATCCTTGGGTAGTACAGACAAATAAAACGAAATTTTGAACTATAAAAAATGAAACGAAACAGGATCTGTGTTTTAATCAGACAGCTTGAAATTCTACTGTTGCGTAGTTTAAAATGTCTGTCTAGATTAGATAATCAGTGTTGCATTTTAAACTACGCAACAGTAGAGAAACCCAATAGTTTTCTATGATTCTCAATGAATTCAATGGTTTGAAACTTAACATTAGAGTTGTAGTGAAACGTACCTGTATATTTGTAAACCAGAGAGTATTTTCATGTAGAGTTGATAAATACCATGCATTAACTAAACCACAGATTACCATTAAAACCACACCAACCAGACAACTACATAATGATACGTTTGACCATCTTGATGGGGTAGGTAACTCCTTCTTAACTTGCTTGTTATATAGAGTATTTACATAGTTTTCATATTCAGCTTTCGTTACTACTGTTTTCTGTTTTCTCTTTCTTACTTCTGGTTCAGACATATCGAACTATTAAAAAAAGAAATATTCAACGTATATTATTATTAACAAACATCATACTTTTTTGCACTGGCAGGGCTAATGAAGATGGGCATACATTTACTTGTTTTCAACAGTTAAATTTTTCGGTTGTAAGTTATTCTTTCTACCACAAATTTATAACTTGCTTTCTTAGGCCTAAACCAACGGTCAAAATTCACTTAGGCCATAACTCACAACTGCCAAAGATTTGAGACCAACATGGAAATTATGCTTTGTAGTTTGGATGGAACAAACAAAATGAGGCCCACCCATGGACACTTTAGCATGGACATAAAAGAACCCTTCAACCATAGATAAAAAAAAAAATCGTACATTTGTATTTGTCTTTTTAATTTTAAATAACCGAAATACCATGCCACAGGCAGGGCTATGTGTTGACGAGACACACGTGTCTAAATTAAAATTGGGGACTGCGGTCAACGATATGTAGATCACTGATAAAATCAAACAGTCAAAACGATTTCCGTTTACTTAATAATAGTGCAATCGTGCAAATGCAATATGTTACTCAGAATCTTGCTGTCTGAATTCAAAGAAATTGATTGTTTCGGAATTAAAAAAAAAGTTTGTTTACTTTTTCGGCGAGACTTTATTTTGACAAAATGTTTTGCTTTTTTAGTCTAAAATCTAAACGTTTGCATGGCAATAGTTTCCATGCGCTGGCTCCTTTTTCTTATTCAAAATAATTAAATCTAAATCTGCCAATTACTTCTTAAAATTTAATGAAGAGAAAACCCAGGTGAAAAAACCTGTCAAAAATTTTCGCCGGCGGGAGTTATCTCCAAATACTTTTGGGAGAGCCACCTTGTGGAATTTTGTATTAAGGGGAGATAATGTCGTTAAAAGGAGTTACCCCCCTTTATTCATGCATCGGCATAATTAATAATCTTTTGTGTTAAAATGAAAGCCGTACAGGTTTCATAGCAGACTACCCTGAACTTAAATAATCTCGAAGTGACGACCTATTATTATCATTATATTCTCCTGATGGCATAACAATTATTATTGAACTTTTTTTTTTACTTTTAATCTCCAGTCCAATCGGCTGCATTTTTTTTTTGCTGGCTTTACCTCACCATATGTGAAATTAAGGTCTGCAATTCGAATTATTTTTTCTCCTAAATCTTGTATTTTGTAGTATCCCCATTTAAAAAGAGTTTCTTTAAAAAAAAATATCCACTTTGTTTTTTTTTAAACACTTATTTCGTGTCCGCTCAGAAATCTCGCGCGTCTTCCTCAATATCTCCAAGGTTTTCACAAATCAATATTTCAAAAGATTTCAAAATCTAACAAGTAGATTAAAATCACGTGAACTTATTTTATTTAATAAAAGAAAAAGGAGAATGGCTGTCCTGTCTTTACTAGACACTGTTGTCACTACCAGTATCACGTTACAAGATTTAAACCTTTGATTGACATTTAAACCAAAAGAATAATTAACCTGGGTTATGGGCATGTTTCTTTACTTTTATATTAAACCGTGACTGGATCACATCTTCGTAAGCCATTCTAAGTACCGACATGTAGTCCTTTCTTTTAATAATTGAGAAAAAATAGTCTATAAACAAAACAAAGGATAACTTAGTGTTTCATATTCTGTGAAAGGGAGGAAACTATTCAACGTACATGTACAGTTCTTTTTTTAATAATTGGGGGAAAATATTAAAAAAGAAAAAAACAAAGGATAATTTAGTGTTTTTTTACTGTGAACAGAAGGAAATTTACTCGATAATGGATAAGTCGTACTCTGAAGATCCATGGAATTAATAACCAATTAATAGGTATTGGTATTCAATATTCCCGGTGCTACTAATCACAGAGAAGGACCGACAAGAGCGCTTTTGGTCAATAGCGCCATAATTTTAGTCAATTATCCATATATTTCTTTATATTTATTTTATAAAACCATTTTAATTTTGGTTATGGTGTGTATGTAATATGTATATCTATATAACATATCTTTTTGCAATATATACTTTGCACGCTATTATAATACGTATATCTATATATATATCTTTCACTGCCGGCCACTTTTTGCAATACCTTGGGTGATATTGACCAAAAAAAACCCCGCTCTTGTCGGTCTTTGTCGGTGATTAGTAGGACCCGACATTTCAACACTTCTACATTGTAATCTACGTTGGAATAGGCAACACAAACAAAAGGCCCGATTATACGAAATTTCAAAACTAAAACAGTTATATGGAACAACAATCACTGGTTTATTATACAAAGGCACGACGTTTCGATAAGTATACTCTTAAAGATGTCAAGCATAAATGACTTTAGCAAACTGAAGGATATTTCTTCCAAAAACACAAATTAATTACAAATGGAAATTCTGTTCATTAGCAAACTATATCATTGTCAAGTAAAATATAATATATCCAAGACATTCAAACAGAAAAGTAGGACATGGAAATCCATCTCCTTTTATTATTCATTTCCAGGACAATCATGTCTTTCTTTTCTTTTTTATTTATTCCAAATTTAAACTATATTTATCTGAGTTTGCGGGAGTTCTGATTACATGTAGTTTCAAATACTTTGACCGGATGCAGCAGAAAAACAGGACGTTAAACCCCATTTCATTTCAAATATATTGTAGTACATGTGTATTAAGAATTTTTAAAAAAATGATATATACCTATATAATTGACGCACTTTTCTTATTCAAGACAACGATCTGTCCATTAAAATTTGTTATATCATTCCAAATATCATAATGAAAATGAACTGTTTTACTGGAAACTTTTCTTGAAAATTCGTAATGTTGTGAAATTCAGTACGGGTTTAGCTGATTTAATCTTTTATATTTAATAATAAATAACATCACGCACTTAGTAATATGATTGAAGCACTTTCGGTATAATTAGATTCCTCGCTTCACTGATTACAGACAACGTTCTAAATACTATACCATGAAAATGACCATGATGATATGTATTCTAATGAAACAAATAACAATAAAGCACTTGCACACATATTCTCATTATCTTTTTATGTAAAATTATATATTTCAACATTGCCTTTCTATCACTATAGTGACTTTTCGATAATACTTGTAAAATCATATATTTCATCATGGTCTTTCAATAATACTAGTAACATTTAAAAATATTTCATCATTGTCTTTCTATCATACTTGTAAAATTATATATTTTATCATGGCCATTCGATCTTGTAAAATTATATATTTCATAATGGTCTTTCTATTTTACTTGTAACATTATATATTTCATCATTGTCTTTCTATCATAACGTGTAAAATTATATATTTCATCATGGTCTATTTGTAAAATTATATATTTAATCGGTAATACGTCTTATCTCTGTATGTTTGATACAAATATCATCAAGGTAGTATTAGTTCAATTACGTATCAATGAATTATAACGATTATAAATTTATTGATTTTGATTTTGATGTAGATATAAATATCTTTTTCTGACAAAATTACATAGAATTAAAAGAACAACCATAGAGACAATTCGTTATAGAACATATCAATAACAATAGTAATCATAATCCTAGTATTTGATTACAAAAATTTTTCATATTATTCTTGTCGCTAATATATAAAAACAATTCAGTGTTCAGAAAATATAAAATATTGACTTGAAATTAACATTCTCCACCTGGTGTCGAGTATATTTTATAGATATCAATTACGGAGAAATTATCAGAAAATTCGGATGAATATTTTGTGAGAAAAAGAATGTTGGAATACGTGATCTTATAATGTTTTTGTTTACGTCATATTTAGTCTTACAGAGTTCACTGAGTTATATAACGACTTTTCTAGAAACAATGAATGAATGAAATCGGGTTTAAAATCGTATATGTCCCAACAGGGCTAATGAAGATTTTTAGTAGAAACACGTTGTGTTACTATAAAGTTATCCAGTCTTGTCAACAATACGATGTAAACATAAAAATTGGGGGTTGATTAATTCTAGGGGGTTACTCATAATTAATAACAAAATTTAAAGATTTGTATATTACCAATAATCTTCGTTATCGTTGAATATATACTTGGTATCACTAATGGTGCTAAACAAAACATTACCTTATACCACTATATCTGGATTTAATAATATAAAATGTGATAAATAAAATAAATTATAAATTTGCATTGCAAAAGTAATTATTATTGCTTTCCATAAAATACACATTTATTATAAATAAAACAATATGAAGAATAAAAACGAAGATTTGTCATGAAAATATGTTCATAAAATACAAACTTATTACAAGAAAAGATATAAAATATAAACAAATATTTCCATAAATTACTAATTTATAACAAAAAATAAAAAAATATAAATAATTCCATGAAATACAGACTTATTATATATAAAATGACATTTCCATGAAATACAAATATAACAAATTATATGTTATAAATTGTATTTCCCTTTTAATTACATTCAATAGATTTTAAACAGAAGAACATTATCCAGTAAAAGACAAACGCAGTTTATGAAATATTCTTATTGAAGTAATATTTACTTTAAAATAAATTTCACCATTTTTGTCATAACCAACCAAAAACATTTTCATTCTTGGTATATTTCTCCAAATCATGTTAGTGAAAATTACTGGCGCATGTTGTAAAATGGTGAAATCCTATTTGGAATACTCGCAAAAAGACCTTCTGTAGTTCGTGATATGTTTGTACGGTGTCGATTTCTGCAGAAGGTAAGTTCGGGTCCTTTAATATTGCACGTTTGACCCCAACTCATTCATGAAAATGCAGTGCTTTTGATAAACGGACATGCAATAATCATAGCGATATTTAAAATGCAAAACTATCTTCTTTTGTTTTGATTTGTTTTATATACGGATCATATTGTAAGATTACTCACGATATTAACCAAACTAGGTTATTTCGGGACTAACATAATATGGTATAATTTTATTATAATAATTCGTCTGTGGGGTCTTAGTAATTGGAGGAAACCGGAGGACGTGGAGAAACCCTATCAACTTTCAAATCATCACTGAAGACTTATCTGTTCCGACGCTATGTTTAGAACTGTGTTTTAAATGTTGCTAGAATTGTAGAAAACTCAACTCTTGCACTACGAGCATACAGTCAGTGTGGAATAGCGCTATACAAAATGTTCACATTAATATTTATTATTATAAAACCAAAAAGATTGGACAGGCTATGTCTTGTCATGTACAAGGTTGAGATCGGAAACTCTCAACTTGACTCCATGGCAAATCTGTTAGACCATGGCAAACGAGTTAGACCATTCGTCCACCCAAAGCTATTTTTTTTTGTTTACTCTTGTCATGTTTTAAGAATCCCAGAAATCATTTGAAATCAAAATAACTAAAATTTGGTAATTTTATTTCGAATTTTCTTTTTCTGGATTTTGCGGAATTTATTTCAAGGGTATTCCCCCTATACTTGGTTGGTATCAAAACTATTCTCGATCACAAGAGCGTCCGTCGGTGCAGTGGCGAAATATGGAGAAAAATAATTTGCTATACTCCAGGTCGTTTATATCAACCATTTTATTGTATACCTTCTGTATATCATATTTACAGTAATTTTCATACATGGGTTGCAAGACAGGATTTAAATTTTTAATGAAACGAATGAACTGGGGTTTACCGTCCTACTTTTCTGCTCCAACCTGGATAATGAAGATGCGTAATTTTTAAAACAATGTCACAGAGGTGTATTTAGAAATGCATTTTTGTTTTGTATTATATTGCACACTAAATAGCCTATATATTTATGAAGCGATTTATAACAAAAATAGAAGCTATACGATTCTTTCAAAAGATAATATTTATATTAAAATTTAAAAAAAAAGAATTAGAATATCATCGTTTGCATTCTTTTGTGGTTTAAATTTTAAAAAACGGAATTAAAATATCACCATTTGTATTCATTTGTGGTCTTTTATTGTAAAATCATGTCTTTTGTTATAAAGTTTAAAAGCCATCGAGTTTTTCTTTTAAATATATTTCTTCCAAAAAATTGTTCGTGATTTTATTAAAGATGTACAGGCAAGAGAATATGACAGAATACAATAAACAATATTCTCCTCTGTTATCTTACAGGACAAAGCTGGCCTAGTCTTATATCAAACAAATAATCCCGTCTCTTAGAACTTAATAATTATTCGTCTGCCGTCCTCACTCCGCAAGGTGTGAAATAACATTATTCATTTTAAAGCATATGCGCATGATTCATTATTTAAAAAGACAGGCCTTTGATCGTGTGGATGGAAAATGATAAAAGCAGACGACAGGTCCTCGTTTTCATTTATTCAATCCCAGATTCATAATTCGTGTCACACGGGAGTTTCACCTCTCCCCGCCCCCGCCTAAATTCATTCTGGCTTCGTTTTTTTCCCCCGACTAGCAAACAACCATTTTAGTAGTTAGTGTAGAGAGTATTTTGGGAACGTGTGGAAAGACTAAGACCTCTCTCGTCACCTATTATATACATTTATTTTATTATACACCCATTCTGATTGTCTTCAGTTAACTTTGTAGAGGAAAAGCGGCTAAAGGCGCTCTCATCACATTCGCCATTATGCAAGTCCGTGCAATTAGCGATAGAAACGGTTTGTCTACGGGGGAGTTTGGTGAACGGTAGGAACAGCTACGGCCACCTGCTCAAATATATCACAACCTGCGAATGTACAGGTCCCTATACAAAACCACACACAGAGAAAATCAAAATAATATCAGAAAATTATGTCCACGTTTTCCTATAGAACAATAAATAATGCCTCGCTTTGTGATCTATGTGTGT